AAATGTAACACCCTAATCCGTCCAGGTCTGCAGCCCCTTCCGGACTAAAGTATTAACTTGGTAATCGTAAAAATTTAAAACTTTTCAAACACACTTTATTAATCCCAATAATTTTTCATAACATATACAGTACGGAGTATTCAACAATATTGCGGAAGCGAATTTAATTTTGACATATCATAAATCATTTCAAACTTGTCACATCCATCCCGACAATCTCGCCCCATCTCCGCCAGGATCACATTGTGCTTTCTGCTTACCTGCGTGTAGCAAATAAAACACACTACACGCTCAGCGGTAAAGCTGAGTAAGCATATCTAATGCGTCGAACATCCATATAAACTGAATCTAAATTCATAATCAAATCATTTGATATCATGCACACAATGTTCATTTCAGACATTCACAGTTTTGGTATTATTCAGATCATATCAACACATTTTATTCAATTCAGATATTAATCCAATAGTGCTCTTAAATTATTCTTAATCTAAGGCCAGATCATAACAACGCTCTTAGCCATTCTTAGTCTAAGGCCAGATCATAACAACGCTCTTAGCTATTCTTAGTCTAAGGCCAGATCATAACAACGCTCTTAGCTATTCTTAGTCTAAGGCCAGATCATAACAACGCTCTTAGCTATTCTTAGTCTAAGGCCAGATCATAATTTCATTCTCAGACGCTTAAACAATAATTAGTTTAAGGCAAACATTTCTCAGACGCTTAAACTATAATTAGTTTAAGGCAAACATTTCTCAGACGCTTAAACTATAATTAGTTTAAGGCAAACATTTCTCAGACGCTTAAACTATAATTAGTTTAAGGCAACAGTTCTCCGACGCTTAAACTTTAATTATTTTAAGGCAATCAATACTCAGACGCTTAAACTATAATTAGTTTAAGGCAACAATAAGACAATAATTAATCATCATTGAGTCGAAGTATTTCCAAACGAGTGACTAGCTTAGTCTACGAATCCCGTTTATACATTTTTATCTAACTCATTGAATATTCATGTTTCACACACTAATATGAGATCTATTCTAGAGGTCTTCTAGATAGCCTTAACACTACAAATCATTTCATAATTATAAATGTATTCATTTTATTCATGATTCAATCATAAATACTTATTTTAATCAGTAGGTTCAATACTCATAATCATCCATAATATTCATTTATCATAATCATCAATTAACACAACAATTGATAATAAATAGCGGCCTAGCTTCGAGTGTTAACACCCGAACTTACCGTCATGCAACACATAACATTTTTTAGTTGTTAAAAACATCATTT